ATCTGACAATTAGAGGCTATATTCTGTAGCATGGCTTTGTCAGAGGGGGTGAGGGAGAAGAAGCTCTGTAAAAAGAGGGTCAAAGACTGAGAATTGGAATGGAATAGAGTATGGAGGAGCTTGAAAAGATCCTTGTTCTTACTGGAAGAAGTAGGGGCTTCAGATAAACAGTTTAAAGCGGCCATTATAGGTCCCCCAGGGGGGTCATAATTGGAAGTGGTAGCAGCCATTCGTGCCGCCTGGTCAGATTTGGCGTTGCCCTCAGTGATAAGACAGCCGTCCTTCTGATGGGACCTACAATGGACAACTCCCAACTGGGTGGGTAAGTGGGAGGCCTCTATCAAATTGGTTATAAGACCCGAATTAGTGATCGCATTACCTTTAGTGGTAAGTAGGCCTCGCTCCTTCCATACTGCAGCATGGGATAATAGAATATGGAACACATATTCTGAGTCAGTATAAAGGGTGATTTGCCCCGTGCTAGGAGGCAGGCACGAGTGGCCACTACAAGTTCGGCCTGCTGGCTGGTAGTTCCTGAAGGCAGAGCTTTGGCCTCTATAATCTCAGTGGCCGAAACTACGGCGTATCCAGAGTAATGAGTGCCATTCTGCCTAAAGGAACTGCCATCAGTGAACCAGATAGGGTCAGGCTTGGTGAGTGGTCCCTCAGAAATGGAAGAATGATGGGGAGGAAATCATCCAAGGTTTCCAAGCAATTATGAACTGGTGGGTCAGATGTGGGGGTCATTGGGAGCAGTGAGGAGGGTTCAGTGCAGAGTAGGGGAGGAACGTAATATTAGGGTTTTCCAGAAAGGAAGTGAGAAGCGACAGGACTCTGGATGGAGGAAGGGTTTGAAGGCCCCTATAAGTTAAAAGATCCTTCAAGTGATGTGGGGAGTGGATAATTAAAGGGGCCCCCAAAAGTCAGCTTAGAGGCTTGTTTGTATAAAATTTGTCCAGCAGCCAGAGCTCTTAAGCAAGGGGCCCACCCACGGATGGTAGGGTCTAATTGTTTCATCAAATATGCCACAGGTGCAAATGTAGGCCCATAATTTTGACCCAAGACCCCAAGTGCTTGMCCCCCTTTTTCATGGACACACAGATGAAACAGTCTTGAAAGATTGGGAAGGTGAAGGGCGGGTGCTTTTAAGAGGAATTGCTGAAGTCTGCGAAAGTGGTAGCGGGGGGAGGAGGCAAGAGATTCACCAGGRGGTCCCTTTGCTAGGTCATACAGGGATTTGGCTAGAAGAGAGTAATTTGGGATCCAGGCCCTAAAATAACCTGCTAGTCCTAGGAATGATAGTATTTCGGCTTTTGTATGAGGCACCAGAAGATTAGAGAGGAGTTGCCTCCTATCCAGTGTTATTTCCTTTTTTCCCGGTGTAAGGCAAAAACCAAGGTAGGTGACAGAAGACTGGAAAACCTGGGCCTTGTGGGGAGACACCCCTTACCTGCTAGGAAATTGAGAAGCTGGGCAGTGTGGGATTCAGTGTTCCCAAGAGGGACTACATAGAAGAAGATCATCGACATATTGAAGGAGAGTAGAGTCAGGMCAGGTGGGGTGAAAGGATGTGAGGTCCTGGGCAAGAACTTGGCCAAAGAGATGGGGGCTATCCCTAAATCCCTGTGGGAGGACAGTCCAGGTAAGCTGACGAGAATGGCGGGTGTGAGGGTCAGTCCACGTAAAAGCAAAGATATCCTGAGATTCTGAGGACAAGGGAATAGAAAAGAATGCATCTTTCAAATCTAGAACCGAGAAGTGGGTAGTAGTGGCAGGGATCTGAGAGAGGAGGGTGTAGGGGTTGGGCACTAGTGGGTGGATGGGGACCACAAAGGAGTTGATGAGGCGAAGGTCTTGAACCAGCCTGTAGGACCCGTTAGGTTTTTTAACTGCCAGAATGGGGGTGTTGAAAGGAGAGTGTGTAGGCCTAAGATACCCCTTCCGTAATAAATCCTGTATGATGGGTTCTAATCCAAGGAGGGCTGTGGTTGTGAGTGGATATTGTGGTCAACTAATATATCTTGAAGGGTCCCGTAAGATAATATGAATAGGACTGCATTTATCCATAGAGGGTGTAGTTGTGTCCCAAACCTCAGGATTAACTGGTTTAGATAGTAGTGGGAGAGTGTATGATGGAGGTGTATCTGTCCCTAGGATCATCATGAGGAAATGAAAGGCGGGGGAGATGGAGGGTGATATGTGGATGGTGACCTTCAATAATGAGAGTATGTCCCTTCCCAGAAGGGGAATGGGGCAATGGCTCATAACAAGAAAGGAGTGTGTGAAGGACAAAGGGATCCCTGCATATAACATGATAAGGAGGGTGTTTTTCAAGGGAAAATCTGTTTACCTCCTACCCCTAGTTTTTTGAGGGTGTGATAGGACCCCAATATTCCCTCAAGACCGAAAATGTGGCACCAGTGTCTAAGAGGAAGGTAATGAAGTGTCCATCCACTAGAAATGTGACCCTAGGCCCTTGCTTCTTGATGGTAATAGTTGGGAGGGAAGGCCCAGGGCTGTCAATCCTCCTTTGCCAAGCCGAGGAGAGGTTGGGGTTGTGGGGCGGCTGACCAACCTCCCCTCCGGGTTGTTGGGCAGTCTGCCCCCCAGCATCCCCTTTGGTGTCACTTTGGGCAGGGGGTGGAGGGTATCCTTGGTGAAGGACAATCCCGGCCCAATGTCTCTCCTTACCACACTTGAAGGTGGTGTGTCTTATTGGGACGGCGTGGTGATGACCTTCTCTGAATGACCTGGGCCAACATTTGGAATTTGGCGTTTTCAGCCCTCTGCCTACGACGTTCGCTTTCATCCTCTCTACTATAGAACACCTTGAAAGCGACCCCGAGGATTTCGGTCTGAGGAGTAGCAGGGCCCTGTTCAAGCTTCTTAAGCTTGGCTTTAATGTCAGGGTAGCTTTGGGCCAGGAAATATGTCATTAAGACATGACGGCCATCAGGGCTTTCTGGGTCGAGGTTTGTGTACTGTTGGAGGACCTTGGTTAGTCTATCCAGGAATTCTGAAGGTGTTTCTTCCTTCTTTTGAATGACCTCCTGCACCTTTTGAAAATTAACGGCCTTGCGGGTGGCCTTTTTTAGGCCTGCCAACAGGCAGGAAGCAAAAAGGTCACGAGACTGTAAGCCTCCAGGGGTATTGTAATCCCATAGAGGATCCTGCTCTGGGACAGCATGAGGGCCTGTGGGGTGGTTGGGATTGGTCCTATGATTTTCATCAGCATGGGCTTGGGCTAGTTCCCAGACCCTTCGCCTTTCCTCAGGGAGAAGTGTATTGGCCAGGAGCATGTAGATGTCCTGATGGGTAGGGCTGTATGCCTTCAGGACCCATTGGAACTCCCGAATGTAAGTGGTGGGATCAGTGGTAAATGAGCCTAACTTCCTCTCTAACCGATAATGTCCGACATGGAGAAGGGCACATGTACTCTAATAACACCCTCAGGACCAGCTACCTCACGAAGGGGTGCAATCATCATGGGAGTAGGAGGGGGTCCCTTAGACCTGGTGACAGGAGGACTGAAAGAGGCAGTTGGCGGTGGACAGGAAGGAAAGGGAGGGGAGGGGGATGTCTCAGCGGGCGGGGGGGGGGATGAGACGGAAGGCTGAGGATCAGTGGAATCAGGCAGAAGAAGCGGAGGGTGTAGCGGGAGAGCAGATGGGGCTGGGGGATAAGGTGGAGGTTCATCTGCTGGGTCAAATGAGGAAGAATCTGCGGAGTCAGGGGAAGAAGTAGGGGAAGGGAGGGGTTTACAAGCAAGGAGGAYCTGAGAGGGAGAGCAGGAAGTGCAGAGGGCGGGGTGTTGGGCGAGAAGGCTAAAACCTTCAATGTATGGGACCTCTCTCCATTTTTTTAGGCACAGGCAGTAGTTAAGAAGATCCTGAAGAAGGTTTGGATCTAACAAGCCTTCTGGAGGCCAATGATTGTCATTATCTAGCAGATATGTGGGCCAATCTTAGGTATAGAACCTGATAAGAATTTTGGGTTTGAGATCTGGGGAGAGAGAGAGTAGCCAAATTCTTAAGGAGACACTTGAGTGGTGAGGTTTCGGGTATAGACAAGGAGGCGCCCATAGTTAAAGAGTGGAGGAAGGGACAGCAAAGGGAGAAAAAGAATTAACCCGGGCCGTAGGGGCTTCTTGGAAGCGTAGAGCAGATGGAGGGTCACGTGGGCATCCCTGAAGTGACCAGTCCACTGCGAGTAGGCACAGAGGGCACAGATCGGTCGTCACTGACGAAGTGCAGTCTGTGTGACCCTGTAGGGTCGAGGCCTCGGGCAACCTGACGTCAGGAAAGTTTTTCGACCGGAACGAGAGACAGTCAAGGAAGGAAGGGACAGAGCTCCAGCAGAACACAGCTCCAGGACGGAAGTTCAGCTCTGGGCTGAACACAGCTCTGGTGGGGCGAGTTCCAGAGGGAAGCGGCTTCCGCGGAGGAGGAAGAGACCAGGGAGCCTCTCGTGTAAACCCAGAAGCCTTACGCCCCAAAGAGAAGTGGGTTGCCAGAGGGTCCACTGTGACCAGTGAAGGTCTTAGTGGGGTGCATTCCCTCGTCCCTACTGGGCGTCAGGAGCGTTGCGGATGATCACGGTCTTGTTTCCTGCTGCTAGCCCAAAGACAGTTGGCGAGCCGGGGAGGGGGAACTTACCTAAACCCGATCAGTGGTGAGTGCAGGGAGCCAGCGCCCAAAAAGACAGACAAGGGCAAAATGTGTCGTTGGTGACAGCGGTGGCGGAGACGGGGCTCGGTTTGTCGAGCACACCATCTCCCGGGTTTCGGCACCACTGTTAGATGCCACACCACACTACGAATGGAAGACACCACGTGACACAAATCACCGGAGAGATTCCGCTTTATTACAAAAGGCTGTGGGTTTATATAGACCTAAGGAAAGCTGGCAGAGCTGAGGTAGATAACGGGTCACCCATTTATTGGCAAGCTCCTCCATATGTCAGTTCCGGATCCCAAGAAGTTAATTYTTATTGGGGCTAAGGTTTCCCACCCGCAGGATTTGAACATTGGCGCCAGCGGGAACGTTTCGCGCCAGTGAAAGAAAAAAGAGAAGAGGGTCGTTAGGCGCCATGTTGGGGTTTTTCTCTGGGGTGCTGCTTCCATTATATGTTTTCCCAACAGGCTTCCTTCCACAAACCCACCAATCTCCAGGGACCACTGGGCCCCTAGGCCCCACCTCCAAATACCACCACATCAGGGACTAGGATTTCAACTTATGAATTTGGGGGATGCAAATGCTCCAGCCACAGCATGGAGTGCCCACTAGAGAGGACATGGTGTGGTGCCTGGCCTGATGTCACTGAGCTCAGGGATGGGACAACTCACCAGCAGGCACAGTCCTCAACAAAGCAGGGATGACCCTGCCCCTCCTGAGGGTTACTAGAAGCAGAGGTAGATGACTGAGGTTGGATAATTACATGAAAGTGTTMATTGAAACTAAAAAGTGACATCAGAATGGAATGATTTAATTACTTGTATTAAAAGTATTAAGAATAGTAGAGGTAACTATTCCTGACTAGGACATTGGCTTCCCTTTACCAACAGAGAGCGGATAGCAAACACAGTGGCACAACTGCTGTAAGCACAGGTAAATGTCTGCAGTGTACATCAATCTCAAAACATGAAACTGGAAAGTATGGGTCAATATCTGCTTTTCTTATTACAGTTGTCCAGGAAAACAGAGACTTAGGTTAAAACAAGTTACATGCCAGGGGATGGTCCTTGGCCCCCCACCGCCCCCTAAGGAACCAAACTGCCCATCCGGACCAGTGACCTGCAAACTATGTCCTTCTCCTGTCCTTCCCTCTGTTAAAAAAAAACTGATGAGCACTGCACTCCCTCACCCATTTTTCAGGTTTATCTGCAACTCATCATAAGGGGGGGGGGCGCCTGTGTGCCTGGCTCTGCTCAGTGAGTCCCCATGGAAGAGGGTTCACCTTCTCTCTGCAATGTGGAGATGAGCCCCTGGGTGAGAAGGCATGCTCAATCTCAGCTGGCTTTTAGAGAACCCACAGCAATCTCTCATGAGGAACCAATGCCCAGGGCTTCACGCCTGAGGCTCCTGGGACCCACGGGACCCAGAAAGATCACTAAATGAGAACCTCCTCAGGGGCAGCTTTGGCTGAACCTCCAGGGTGAAGTTCATGCCCAAATACGATGGCAGGCCTGACACCCCGCATGGTGAGGGGCTCCAAGTGAAAGGGTAAAGTTTCTAAGCTGAAAGGCTTGAATTAAAATGTAAAAGATTAGGTACAATTGAGTTCCTCTGTTACACCCAGATTCCTGAGATAGTTAAGACAACGCCCTACTGGCCATTTAGCCTAGGGCCCTGTGCAGTTAGTCACAGGGCCCRGACCAATCAGTTTGAATGTGTAACCCRCTTACGAATGACCAATCACCCCCGCCTGACCTGTTCCAGCCAATGAATGTGCCAATCACGTCTCAGAGTTGTTGTTCAATTTCCCCGCGCCTCATGATGATTTGTTCTGATGTATGCAAAGCCTCCCACCCTCCCCAAAAAGTGTACTTAAGCTCTGTTTGAACCTCTGCTCGGGGCTCTGGGCTGCTCTCCCTTCTTGAGTGAGCACGGAGCCCCAGCGCGCTGGAATGGATCCCCAACAAATCCCCGTTTGCCAATTGCATGGAGTCAGTCTCTTGGGTGGTCTCTCCCTCCGACGTTTCGCCGTACCTTTACACAAGGGAGTTCTTTTTGATCAGGGAGCAGGTACCAGGACTCATTCACTCTCTCTCTCTCTCTCTCACACACACACACACACACACACACACACACACACACACAGATAACCCAGCTTCACCACTGGGATGGAAACAGACTTCCTTGCTATTTTGGGCCCCAGGCTTTCTGAGCTGACACTAAAAAACTGCATGCATGTAAGAGTACAAAGCATCGCGTAGACACACACAGTGAAAGAGGTATGATCTACAACAAACACATCTGTCCTCTCAGAGTTACAGTGGTGTGTGAGAACATGGTAACTCTCCCCAGGCTGCAGCATTCGCAGTCTTGCTCAYTAGCCACCTCATACCTGAGCGTCGGCAGGCTCGGGGCACATCTCCCATTCCACCAGCCCCAGAACACTGGCAATCACCAGTCCACTCCATTTCCATCAGTTGGACTCTTTTGGGCTCAGCAAGTAATACAAAGCATACACTATTTGTCTTTTCTGAGTTATTTCACTTAGCAGAAGATCCTTAAGTTTCGTCCATGTTGTTGGAAATGGCAGAACCCCTTTCTTGTTCGTGGCTGAATAATATCTGATTTTATTTTCTCTATCCTCTTGCCTTTGAAGATGGACTGTTTCTGTGTCTTGGTTATTGCAAAGAATGCTGCAATCAACATTCCTCTTCGGGATTTTTTAAATTTTTAAATATTTTGGGGGTATGGGGAATTRAACTCAGGGGCACTTGGGGCACTCAACTACTGAACCACATCCCCAGGTATATTTTGTATTTTACTTAGCACCTAACCATTGCTGAGGCTGGCTTTGAACTTGCAATCCTCCTGCCTCAGACTCCCAAGCTACTGGGATTACAGGCATGCACCATCGCGCCCAGCCCTCTTTGGGATACTGATTTCATTTTGAAGCCATATTTACAGATAGGTAGTTAGCGTAGTTAGGTAAATCGGGTCTAATATCAAGTAAAAATCAAGAATGAAGTCCAGGAAAAGGGGAATTGAAAAAGTCCCCAAGGCCCAAAGCCCATCCCAAGGAAATTTTAATGAAGCAGCTCCCAACAAAAAAGAGATGCTAATCTAAAAGCCCTTCCTGCCCTGATTACTCCTCCAGGCCATCAGTCCCCCACCTTTTGGGCCTTCCCACCTACATTCCATCACTGCAAGATAACAGAACAAAGGACAGGAATGCAAGCAAAGGGAATGTGGGAAATCTGAAAGTAAACCTTAGCTATAAAAAAGGGAAGACCTCCCCCCTTCCATGGATTCCACCACTTGGGTCCCCTTCTTCCTCTGGGGAGAAGTCTTTTCTACTGTCCTTCAATAAAGCTTCAACTTTCCACTCTAAACTTGCCTTGGTGTGCTTCTCTGGTGTTATACTTCAGCATCGGGGAAGTAAGGACTCGTCACCAGTAAACAGAGGTGCTAATTTCTCTCAGATATATTCTCTGATTCTGGGTTACTGGATCAAATGGTAGTTCTATTTAAAAAAATTTAAGGAAACTCAATACTGTTGGCTAAAATAGCTACACCTTTCTATTCTCATCAGTAGTGCACGGGGGTTCCTCTCCCAGACCCACTCCAACACTTAGCTCATCTCTTTGTTGCTAAACCATCCAAGATTAGTGKCACTGAGTAACTTTTCATGTACCTGTTGGTCATTTGTATATCTTTGCAAAAAATCCCCCCAAATTTATTCAAGTCCTTTGCAAATTTTATTTTTGAAGTGCTGGGGATCGAACCCAGGACCTCACACATGCTAGGCAAGCACTCGACCACTGAGCCACACCCCCAGCTCTGTTTTGTATTCTTATTTAGAGACAGGGTCTCACTGGTTGCTTAGCACCTCGCCATTGCTGAGGCTGGCTTTGAACTCATGATCCTCCTGCTTCAGCCCCCTGAGCCGCTGGGACTACAGGCGTGCACCGACTCTTTGTCACATGTATAGTTTGCAGATACTTCCCACGGCTTGTCTTTTCCTAAGGTTGGCTGTTCCCTTTGCTGTGCGGAAGCCTTTCAGTTTCATGAGGTTACACTTTATGTCAGTCAGCTCTTTGTCACTGTGGTCAAAATATCTGGCAAGAACAATTCAGCCAGGSACAGTGGCTCACGCCTGTGATCTCAGTGACTGGGAAGTTGAGGCAGGAGGATTGCAAGTTTGAGGCCAGCCTCAGAAACTGAGCAAGTCCCTAAGCAACTTAGTGAAATCCTGTCTCAAAATAAAAGGGACTGGGGATGTAGTTTAGTGGTAAAGCACCCCAGCACACAAAAAAGAAAAAAGAAAAAAAAAACTAAGAAGGAAAAAGTTTCTCTGGAGCTTGGGCTCCAAATGGCAGAGAGGAAGCAAAGAGAAAGTGAAGGTGACTACAATGAGCCAGGGTCACACTGTGATCTCAAAGGCATGGCCCAGTGACCTCCCTCCTGCAGCCACACTCTACCTAAGACTCACTTAAATCATGATCCACTAATGAGGTCACCACCCCCATGATCTGATCTGATCCCTTCCCCTCTGAAGACTCCTGAATCTTCCAACATGCAGCCTTTCAGAGACACCTCATACCCGAACCGAACTGGAACACACCTGTTTATTTTTRTTGTCTTTGCTTTCTGTGTCAATCAAAAATGTCACTTTCAACACCAACATCTTGGAGCTTCTTCCTTCATTTTCTGGGTTTTGCATCCAGGTCTTCAGTGCGTCTCAAGTTAATGTTGTGGATGGTCTAAGACAGGAGCCGATTTTCCTTCCTTTGCATGTGGCTCTCTGCTCTTGCCAGCAGTGGTCACTGAAGAGCCTCTTTCCCACTGTGCACTCCAGGTGCCACCAAACCCTAGTTGACCACGTGTGTTCACTTCTGGCCCAGGTCTGTCACTGGTCTCTCTGTGTGCTTTCACCCAGCACCGCACTGTTCCCTTTGTGGAAGTCAGGAAAGGTGCTACCTGCAGCTTTGTTCTTTTTCATGATTGCTTTGGGTCTCTGGACTCTTTTATGGCTCCATATATATTTGAGGATTGTTTGTTTTCTATTTCCTTGAAAAACGCCAATAAAATTTTGCCAAGAACTTTTGGTAATATTGTATCTACAGGTCTTTGTGTAGTAT